CCCGCCCTTCACTACCCAAAGGAGTCTCAGAGCGGCTTACAAACTCCTTTCCCTTCCCCTCCCCACAACAGACACCCTGTGAGGTAAAAGAAGAAGAGATTGGATTTCTACCCCGCCCTTCACTACCCAAAGGAGTCTCAGAGCGGCTTACAAACTCCTTTCCCTTCCCCTCCCCACAACAGACACCCTGTGAGGTAAAAGAAGAAGAGATTGGATTTCTACCCCGCCCTTCACTACCCAAAGGAGTCTCAGAGCAGCTTACAAACCCCTTTCCCTTCCCCTCCCCACAACAGACACCCTGTGAGGTAGGCGGGGCTGAGAGAGCTCGACAGAAACTGCTCTTTTTCAAGAACAGCTGTGCCAGAACTACGGCTTGCCCAAGGTCATCCAGCAGCTGCAAGTGGAGGAGTTCTCCCAGATTAGAGTCCGCACACTTAGGCACAACACCAAACTAGCTCTCACTACAAATGTTTTGTAAAAATCTGAACGGAGACCCGTATGCTGAATGGGAAACCAGAGGTGGCAGTTATCACAGCCCTTTTATTAAAACTGGGTTTCGGCTGAATTCCTACGGTTAGGTAGGCGAGTAATTTAACGTGCCGCATTGGCAGGGGATGCAGAGCCCCCTCCCTTCCCTGTGCTTATTACCCCCTGGGCCCTTTCCCCCCGGCAGGGCTCTGAGATGGGGATGGGGGGGACTGGGGGAGAAAGGGAAAAGTGGCTCCCGGGGAAAGAGGCACGAGCGAGCAAGGAACGCCAGCACTCCCCTCCCTCTCTCAAACAATAAAAACTCACTTTGGGGGTTTTCAAAAACAGCTTCCAGAACAGACGCTTCTAGATCCTGAAGGACGATCTCCTCTCGGTCTCTGCGGATCCGCCAGAGGTCCAGAGTCATTCGGTTAATCTGCTCCCCGCCAGCATTGCTACCCGAGAACAAGGCAGGATGTTAGGAAAAGACGTCCCGCAAGATTAATGCACATCCTGTTCTCGCAGGGCTCTTTTTGTAGCAGGAGCTCCTTTGCATATTAGGCGAAACACCCCTAATGTAGCCAATCCTCCAAGAGCTTACAGTAGCTTCTGTAAGAAAAGCTCTGTAAGCTCTTGGAGGATTGGCTACATGAGGGGTGTGTGGCCTAATATGCAACGGAGTTCCTGCTACAAAAAGACCCCTGCCAGGAGTATGTCCTCTGTGCTGTAAGAGCACAGCAGCACCTGCTGGGTCACCAAAACAGGGCTTCAAGTTGGGCATTTTCAAGCAGGAGACGATTCTGCTTGGAGCCGCACACTCACCTGAAGCTCATTCACCGAAAGAAGCTTGAGCATTTGGTTCAGGACTATCAGGGAGGAAACGTAATTGGCTAGAAGGCAGAATCATGCCCTCAGTCAGCAAACGATTCCCCATTCGAGAATTACCCACAAATCTCTTACGTGCTATTCAATCTGTTTGTACCTAGTAAATATGAAGATTGCTTTCCTATAGTTGGTCCCATACACAACCCAAGAGGGTCCCAGAAATGGAATAATCACATCAATCAAGCCTGGGTGCATCTTATCCATCTCGTCAAAGAGAAAGAGCGACCGGCCACAACGGGTCAAATTCCCATGGATCCAACTTCTCAGGTCCTTCTGGAAAGAAATACAGAATAGAAAACATAAAAGAGGAACTCTTTCTCTGTCATTTTAAAAACAGTTCTTGTTGGTGTGTCTTCTCCAGACCTGATGATTTCTTAATTTTTAGTTTGTCGAAATACGGAACGCTCTGCTAATCCACAGTACCATTCCGATTTTCATATACAGTCTGGCAAAACAATGCAAGCATAAAGCCAACAGTTGTGATAGTCTGACCCACAATCAAACAGTCATAAGACTTATAAAGAATGCTGTTTATGTATTGCAATCTAAAGCACTACAACATGATACACAACTCAATAGAAAATCCTTGAACCAAGGTACATAATCACATAATCAACGTCGTCTCCGGATTACATAACAGCGTTTCAAAAAAAATGTATCTTCTTCAGGAGATATTATAGTGGTGCCAAAACTCTCAAGTTTCATAAATGTTAGACAACAAGTCTTAAGAATATTAAATTCAGATAGGACGCTGATCTCAATTAACATTCAAGCTCAAAATATGCTGCTATGTCCAGTAGAAACATAGCAGCATATTTTGAGCTTGAATGACTGTTTGATTGTGGGTCAGACTATCACGACTGTTGGCTTTATACTTGTTTAACCGATTGGGTCGTGTGTGTCCAGATTTTTTTTGAAACAATGCAAGCGGCATTGTTACAGGAAGTGCAGAAATTCTGAAGGTCAGGGTGGGGCTAACTCAAGCGCCCACCTTCTTTTTCTAAAGAGAGTCACGAGAGCCAATGCGGCACAGTGGTTACGAGTGGCAGACTGGTACCTGGGAGACCCAGGTTCGAATCCTAACTCGTTCTATTGAAGCTCGCTGGGTGGCCTTGGGCCAGGCCCAACCTCTCAGCCTAACCTACCTCACTGGGTTCCTGTGAGGATAAAATAAAGGAGAGGAGGACAACACCAGGTGCTCTGGGTCCCCACCGGGAATAAAGGCCGGGTACAAGTGAGTTGGGAGCTGCGGTGGCTCAAGTGGTTAAGACGCTGAACTGCAGGCTGTGGAAGGTCGGTAGTTCAGCAGTTCGAGACCCAAGTGTGCCGCATGACGGAGTGAGCTCCCGTCTCTAGTTCCAGCTCCTGCCAACCTAGCAGTTCGAAAGCAAGACATTGCAAGTAGATAAATAGGCACCACTTTGGTGGGAAGGTAACAGCGTTCCGTGCGCCTTGGTGTTTAGTCATGCCGGCCACATGACCACGGAAACGTCTTCGGACAGCGCTGGCTCTTTGGCTTTGAAACGGAGATGAGCACCGCAACCCTAGAGTCGGATTCGACTGGCTTTCGAGCAAGGGAACCTTTACCTTTACAAGTGAGTTGAATATAACTATGAGAGTCCTAAGATGAAGCGCCACCAGAAACGAAAGCTTTGCTGTTCGACACAGAAAGGTCATCTCCTTACCTTATACTGTTCAACATGTTCTGCGTGAGGGAAGTGAACCACTGGGGAGAACTGGTGGACGTACGGGCTGAGGGGCCCGCCTCGAAAGAGGTAGCGGATCAGGAGAGAGCTGACGTAGGTTTTGCCCGTGCCGGTCCAGCCGTGGAACGACATCACCAGAGGCTTCACGGGAGCCTGGTTTTGCACAAACTCCCTGACCCCTTTCACGACCAGCTGCCTGACCAAGTGCTGGCCAACCAGGTTGAGAGCTAGATCACATTCCAGACCTGAAATGAATTGGGATCCAGTTAATGAAGGGCTGGAGGAGACAGCTTTAAAACATGGATGCTAATAATAATTGCCACGTATACAGTGCTTTGCACAGATCTTTCTTACTGCAGTCTTTTAAGGTAGGCCAGCATTACCTCCATATTTCAAAAACCCCTCTCATAGGACCAAGGCCCTCTTCACTTGGATCACGCTTGCCATTAGGAGCTATCCATCTGAACCCTCCCAATCAAATGGTCAAGGGAAGTATCTATATCCAAATTTGTGGCAGTATCTATATCCAAATTTGTCAGCAGTGACTAACGAAAGCTCCTAACATGTCACCAATTTTAGAAGATATTGGATTTATACCCCGCCCTTCACTACCCAAAGGAGTCTCAGAGTGGCTTACAATCTCCTATCCCCTCCCCACGACAGACACCCTGTGAGGTAGGCGGGGATGAGAGAGCTCTCCCGAGAACTGCCCTTGAGGGAACAGCTCTGAGAAAACTTGAGACTGACCCAAGGTCACACCAGCAGCTGCACGTGAAGGAGTGAGGACTCAGACCCGGTTCTCCCAGATTAGAGTCCGTGCTCTTAACCACTGCACCAAACTGGCTTTACTAGACTCTTGCTCTTTTCTACTGCTACAGACAAACATGGCGACCCATCTTGATGCATCTATATCCAAACCTCCTTGCAAGCCAACTCTGTTTTTTCTCCCTTCCCATTCGGTCAAGGATTACACCTTAAAAGCCCTCTCCTCTTCCCTGCTCCAGTCACAGGATAATGACCACCCCCTCTGCCAGCTTCTCCCTATGCCAGCCAAGAAGTCCTGAAGGATCCATCATCCATTCCGACCTTTCCCCTAAATTCCTTTATAAACCCTCCTCTTAGAATCACAGAGTTGGAAGGGGCCACACAGGCCACCTAGTCCAACCCCCTGCCCAATGCAGGATCAGCCTAGAGCAGTGGTGGCAAACCTATGGCACACGTGCCAGGGGCGGCACTCAGAGCCCTCTCAGTGGGCACGTGTGCCATCCCCCCAGCCAGGCCCAGACCATCATTAAAGTGTTGCATTCTCTGCCAAATAATTTAAAGTAAATGAAAGCATTTGGGATTGCTTTCCTTACTTTGTTTGGATCATCTTATGTTAATGTAGGAGTTGTTTTTTCTAAAGCAAAAACCTCAGTATTCAGGTTAAATTGCCCTGTTGGCACTTTGCGATAAATAAGTGGGTTTTGGGTCGCAGTTTGGGCACTCGGTCTCTAAAAGGTTCGCCATCACTGGCCTAGAGCACCCCTGACAAGTGTGTTCTCCAGACGCTGCTTAAAAACTGCCAGGGAGGGAGAGATCACCACCTCCCCAGGCAGCTGATTCCACTGTGGCACAATTCTTAATATCAAAAAGCTGGTACCTTCCTGCCCTTAATTTAAACCCATTACTGCGAGTCCTCTCCTCTGCTGCCCACCGGAACAGCTCCCTGCCCTCCTCTAAGCAACAACCCTTCCAATATGTAAAGAGAGCAATCCTGTCCCCCCCCCCC